GACCAATGGAGGAGAATTGAAATCAACCCAAACTAACAGCAAAACTAAACGTTCGGAGGGACCACCCTGCCCTAGGTGCATGTTTTCAGAGCTGGAACAGACTTCAGAGATGATCTTGTCCATTAGACAGATACAGCACATTGGCGCTTTGAACTGTAAGGACCTTACCAAGACTTGGAGGCCCTCAAAGCAACAATTCACAAATCCCCTCAACAAATATTGCTGGATGAATTCATTAAGAGAAAAGTGGCAATTCAAGCACTGGAAAGAGAGGGCTTCAAAATGGCCTACTTTGAAGATATGGAAAGTTATCAAAAACACAGTAGGTCTGGCAGCACTCACAAGCACTACACCATAAGTTGAGAACTTTGAAGTGACCATGTGATATTTATGGCCTGAAAAGAGACAAAAGCCAGCAAAACCACTTTCCTAGAGTTGTTGAGCAGAGAAGAGGGAAGGGTCTCCAAAGGCCCACATGAATTTCTCTAAGTTTTGGCTCACTATTTTGTCCTTGGGACCCTGCAAACTGCTTGCAAGCAGTATAACATTCAGTAAATATTTGTTAAATGCTTGAAGTAAGAGGGAAAGACAGAGATGGACAAAGAGAAACCATCCCTGCTGCTGAGTGTAGCATCCTCCAAGGAGCGAGGCCTTTCGATCGTCTGACCAAGAGCAATGGACGCTGACTGCTAGTACAGTGGGAGGAATATGAGCTTTTGAGACAGATACACCTGGGTTCGAATTCAAGCTCTGTGTGATCTTGGCATAAGTGCTTGACCTCTTTGAGTCTCAGTATTTTACCTTAAAAAGGGGATAATACCACCTACTTCACCTCCAATATAGGCATGATGATATTTATCCTTACAAAATTGTTGTAAGAAAACTGAACTAATGGATCTACCCAAAGTAGCTAGCACAATGACCAGCACACAGTATGAGCTTAACAAACGGCAATGCATGTTATAATTAATCATGCTCTTGATAGCCACAGCCTACATTCTCCTAAGCTGCCTTTAAGTGTACGCTATAGTTTTTTGATACCAAGCTGCAGATATAATTCCAGTTTAAGTTCACTAAATTGCCCAATAATGCCCATTTCTTTAAATAAATAAAATCATATATACATGCCCTTTCACTTTACAAAGTAACTTCACATTCACACGATTCTGAAATGATGCATTACTGTTACCCACGTTTAGTAGATGAAAAAACTAAGGCTGTTCAGCCAGCAAGAGACAACCGGAATTGCTACAGATTTTAACATTTTATTTTAATAGCCATCATTTTCTCAACCAGAAATTCAAACAAGTGATTTTATTATGGAATAACATACTTGAACTCAAAGTGCTTCAGAGCACCTCAGACGCTGCTTAAATCATCCTAATTCTTACAGGTGAGGTCAGAAACAAAATCCTGAAAGAAGAGGCAGTAATTATTATTACTTTTTTTTAAACAAAGGCGCTCCTCTGGACTTAACATGTCTAGTATTAATAGTCCCAAGTAGAAGAGGAACATGCTAGAGTCAGGCCGATGTATGTTTTAGCAACATCTCTAGCACTTATTAGCCATAGGGCCCTGGATGATTCTTGACCCCGGTAAATTTCAACATCCTCATCTGTGTAATGGGAAAACATTACTCCTAAGGTGTGAAGTTCCTGGCATGGAGGAGGCAACCAGTAGATTATAGCTACTCTAATCACCATGCCACGGTGCTGACCATTCGGATTGTATGCAGTCTAAGTGACTGCTTAGAAGTCCCTCCTGGCTTCTCTAGCTTGTGCACACCCCTGTTCTGCATCTGTTCAATGGGGCTATAACCAGTCTCCCTCCTACCTCGCCAAGGAATGCAGACAACAAAAGAGCTGGCGGAGACAGTACGCAAATACCAAATATTATTAAAACATTAATGAACTCTGGCAATTTCCCTGAATTTTGATATATGGTTTTTATTATGCACTGCCAGCCTCTCATACAATCTAGGCTCTCAAATATTAACCAGATAATAACAGCAATTATTCTCCTAAAAGACTAAGGTGTAGAGAAATAAGGAGTGAGTCTAGGTTATTCCAGAGAACACCTGGCTCCAAAGGCATCAGAAATTCCACGGAGACAACAGTGACCACCAGCAGGCACAGATCAACTCCACAGCCTACATAAAACCCAGTCTTGATAGGATAGCAGAGTTTCCTGGTGCCGACAGGTCACTGACTATGACAACTGTCTACTACCACTTTGCTCTTCTCCACATAGTTGCCTCCAAAACTAGACAAAACAAAAAGGGCCTGAGAAGCTAGGGGGCTTTAGTCCAAGCTAACAATCTTATTTCTAGAGTGAATGCCCCCTGCCAACTGCCTAAAAACACAGGTAGTGTCATCCACAGTTCCATTAAAGAGGCTTGCACCAAATTGCTCTGCCATTTCGCTCTGTGTGAGGGGATAAGGTTTTTAAGCTGCTGACAACCCTCAGGTACAGCTCAGAAGCAGAACAAAGCCAAGAGGACTCACCACTCCCCCCACCCTCCAATAACTCCCAGAAATAAAGGCCTGGTGCCACCCCAGTGACACCTTAACAAGCTGAGGGTCATTAAGACACTTCATTTGCATATTCATGAAAGACTGGAGGCTGTGGCAAGTGAAACAAAGTGCACAAAAAGAGATTTTGTTTTTTAAGCCAAGCGAAAATCCTCTTTAGAAAAAGTAAATCCACACAGGGACCCTTACTGTCTCCAAACCTTCATTTGTCTAGAGCAGCCAGCACCTCATTAAGGGAAAGCAAGGAACTCACAAATGAATGCAGCACCACACACAGGCAAGCTCATTTCGCCATCTGCCTTCTAGTGTCCAGAGGGGCAAAAGGCTTAAATGACTCCTGCTTTTTCTCTCCTCCAGGTGGAACTATCACATT